GCGACTGCCTTAGGCTCAGGTCATGATCCTGGAGTCCCGGGATCGAGTCCCGCATCGGGCTCCCTGCTCAGCGGGGAGTCTGCTTCTCCCTCTGACCCTCCTCACTCTCATGTGCTGTCTCTCTCATTCTCTCTCTTTCAAATAAATAAATAAATAAATAAATAAATAAATAAATAAATAGATCTTTAAAAAAAAAAAGAATATATTTAGAGTGAGTCTAATTGTAGAAAGTAAAACAAAACAAAGAAACCCACAAAAAAACCCAGGCAATCTAAACAATATTGTTTAGGGATATACACAGAGGTAGGAAACCATTAAAAAAAAAAAAAAAAGGGGGGGGGAGGAGGGGGTTTATATATAGTGGGGGGTGGCCGCTGGGGAGAATGTGTCACGGTTGGGCACGTGGGCTTCTAAGGTACTTGGAATATTCATCGACCTGGGGGCTGGGCGTTTGTTTTTTATTGTTCTTTATCCTGCATTTATGCATGTTACATACTCTTCTGTATATATCACACATTTTACACAAGAAAAACAGCGATGGTATGTGCTCGACTCTGCCCCTTTTCTCCATCCAATCCCTATTCTTGCCCTCGCCTGCCAGAGGAGGGGCCAGGGTCCCTCATCCACAGTTCTCCTCTGTTTCTGAGTGGGTCAGAGGAATATGGGGGTGAGGGCCTCCCCTCTGCAGCTGGGCCCTGGCTACTCCAGGGTGAGAAGGCCTGGGGAAAGCCAGGCCAGCCGAGGCCGGCTGGCTCGGCTCTTTCTGCCAACTCTGGGGATTAGGCCAGGGCTCTGGCCCACCTGTTGTTTCACTCATTCAACATGCACAGAGCACGGAGCGCTTACAGTGAGCACTGGGTGCTGTTGGGAGGGTTCACATAAGTGAGAAGTGGTCTTTGACCTCAAAGATCTTACAGTGTACTCGGAGGGAATCATATACCCAAATAATATGGTACCAGAAAAATGTGAGCTAAATGTTACAGGACTACTTATCTACTCTTTCAATAAACATTTGTTGAGCACCTATTATGTACCAAGAACCATGCTGGGTGGTGAACATATAAGGGCAACTGAATCATAATCCTGGCCCTTAAGTTCTTAGCCTAATTCGGAGGAAACACACATCCAAGATAAATACAACAGTGGGGCAAGCCCACGGAGGCGGATAGGCCCAGGGAGAAGCAGGGAGGCCACCCTCTCTCACCCCCGCCTCCTTAGGCTAGGAGAGATGGAGTGGGGAAGGTTGGAGCAGGGAGGTCTTCCTAAAAATTCAGACCCTGAACTGAGACTTTAGGGATGAGGAAAACAAGGTCAAGGTTAAGGGCTGGAAGGACATCTTTTGCAGAGGGACCAGCTGGGCAAAGGCACAGGGGTAAGGAACAGCACCTGAGGACTATTTGCTACCAAAACACAAGTACTCAGCAGGGATGGGGAGAGAAGCAGCTAGAGGGGACAGCCGAGGGGGATCAGAGTCAGATTTGCCTTGTAAAAACCTTAGATTTTATAGGTACTGAGATCCACTGAAAGATTTAGGGGGAGCTGGATAGTTCACTCTGGCCCAGGATAGAGGAAGGGTTGAGGGACACAGATTGGAGGAAGGCGGACAGGCTGTCAGGTGGTTGTGGATCCAAAAAATATTTAGATAGGCTAGTTCTGTCTGAGAGTAGATGGGTGGTGGGTGTGGGAGGCACCAGCTCCCTGCCCAGCCACCAGGTGGAGCAGGGTGAAAAGAGGGCTTCAAGCCAGAACTAGTGTGGCTCTGGGCTCTGGGTACCAAGGAGCACTAAGTGTGGGCAGAGGATGGCAAGGAATGAGAACAGGATCCGGCACAATTTGACCCCAGGGTTCGCAAAGGCTGGCTTGTGGACAGGACCGGACTGACGAAGCAAGGGCATGTAATGAGCTGCTTATAAATGAAATGTATGCACACTGAGAAACTATCCTTAGAAGCGTTTGCAATTCAGTCAATAAAGAAACACATCACTCAGAGGCATCAAGTGCATTACCAAAAGAAATCTCTTCAAGACTCCAGAGTGGTTTAATCCTGGGGAGGAGGGGTGGAGGACAGGGGTTGTGTTTTTAAACAAAAGTAAACATGTTAAACTATCATCTTTTAAAACTCACGGACATAAAACATATATGTAATTAAAAAAAAAAAGCACTGGCTTTTGTTCTGAGTTTACGTCCCTTCCACTTTTTTTAATTGCTAAAAGTGTCTTTTTTTTTTTTTTTTTTTTGGTATGAAACGATACAAGATAGAGGATAGCCAGCTTCTCCCCCGCTCCCCTCACGTCCTCATTTGGCAAAACAAAAACGAAAAAAGGCCTTGAGCCCTGTGCATCTTGACATCCGAGGCTGGGAGCCGCTGGTCCAGAGCGCGGGGCCTAAGGCCGGAGAGCGGCGACTCGGCTCGCCTGCAACCCCGCGGGCGGCCGGCAGAGGTCAGGCGAGTTCCACGCAGGCCCCGCAGAACCGCGCCCGAGTCCGGGAGTCCCAGCAACGCTCCCTCGGCGGAGCGGGGTACGGGGAGGACACCGGGCCTGCCCTAACCTAGGGGTCGCGACTAACGGTCACCCGGGATCTCGGTCTGGCTCTGCCTGGTGGGGCATAAACTGGGCACTAGCCACCAAATTAAAAAGAGGGTTCTCCCACCCCACCTCCCACGCCGCATTAACACCCGCTCTGGCTCCACCTCGCCTCTGGGCGTGGCTGGGTGGCTGGCTCCTGCAGGCTGAGTTCCGTGCCCCTGGGCCACTCACCTGTCATCTGGAAGGCCGCCCTGCACAACACTGCCTCCCACACCGGGTTGTGGTCAAGACCAAGGAGCTAATACATCAAATCCAGACTTGAGAGTGCCACATAAGACTTGTTTTTACTAGAATTAGGATTCAGGCCTCCGGGGGAAGTGTCCTTTAGGTCCCAGGTCCGTTTTTCTAAAAGGTTGCCCGCGCCTCAGCATGGCCCCTGGGGATGTGATTAGGTCCAGCGTTGATCAAGGAATCCGCATTTTACTGGTTGCCAAATTCTGATCAACAGCGTGCCCAGACCACACTTGAGAACCATTCTCAGCTTCTGTTGCCATCCCACAGGACAAACACTAGGCAAACATCGAATGGGGGCCTGGGCTGGTCGTGTGACCCACCTAAAATTGGAGTGGGTTGCATTAGAAGCAGCCCCAGGAAGGACTTGCCCCAGGAACGACTAGCTGGTGCTGTGGTTACACGATGCTCGGAAACCAGAATCCCCCAGAAGAACCAAAGTGAAGTGCCCCTTGCTCTTCCATTCGCGACTCGGGCTACACTCTGTTTTTGGCTTTATTTTAAAATACGCCTTTTCTGTTTCATATATAGCACTGGGAGAACAGTCACATTCTCCCCAAGTTGGTGGCGGGGCTCCGCAGCACACGTGGACCGGAGGAAACATTCCATCCTGTCACACTCTGAACAGCTCCAGGCTGCTTGTTCCAGCTACACTTTAAACCCAGCAAGACCACTATTTCGGTCCCACTCATGTCCAACAAAGCAGGGGGCAGGCCAGGGAAGTAAAGGGACTGTGCCACAAGCCCTGGGTTTCCCCCTGAGGATAGAACTGGGCTAATGCCACCTGTCTCAGGCATCAGGCTGGAACAGCACTTAGCCGCAGGCCAGCACCAAAAGTCTGAAAGGCACCCCTCGGCCGAGAGACAAGAAAACCGGTTCTTTTAGGGAATTTAGACATGGTGGAACAACCCAAACCCATTCCACTCTTGACTGTGCAGGGGGGCTCCAGGCTGGCATTCTCATTTCTGCTGATCTAGATTCTAGCTCCAGTTCTGACCTTGGGAAAACCAAATCGTCTTTATCTTTTAAGATTTTATTTACTCGCGTGTGTGTGAGCAAGTGGAAGAGCAGAGGGGGAGGGAGGCAGAGGGGAAAGAATCTCGAGCAGACTCGTGCTGAGCGTGGAGTCTGACGTGGGGCTTGATCCCATGACCCTGAGATCATGACCTGAGCCGAAACCAAGAGTTGGAAGCTTACCTGATTGAACCACCAGGCGCCCCTGTGTCAGTTTTAAAAAACATGGGGGTGGTGGGCGCCTGGGTGGCTCAGTCGGTTAAGCGACTGCCTTCGGCTCAGGTCATGATCCTGGAGTCCCGGGATCGAGTCCCGCATCGGGCTCCCTGCTCGGCAGGGAGTCTGCCTCTCCCTCTGACCTTCCCCCCTCTCGTGCTCTCTCTCTCTCAAACAAATAAAATCTTTAAAAAACAAAACAAAACAAAAACAAAACATGGGGGTAGCATTCAGAAATGTATGAGCTTCCTTCTAGCTCTCAGACTCCTATCTCTCTGGACTCCCTCCTTCCTTTAAAACCACTGGGAGATCTGGGGAAGGGAGGCTGAAACCTCTTCTGTCCTCAAGGCACATGCCATCTCTTTGTCCCGCATCACCAGTGAGTAGGCAGGAGGACAGGAGTAGGGCCCGGACTAACTACTCCCCAAGGACATGGGGCTAGCGTCAGACAGGAGGCAGTAGCAAGTAGACTGCTTCACCCCTAAAAAACACCAGTTTTAGAAGCAGATGGGTTTGCTTCCTAATTCTTAATACAAAATGGCAGCAGCCGCGGGGCTGTTGTAACAAAACTAGCCATAGGGCATCCAGAGAAATGTACATAGGCAGCCTTAGTTGGAGTTGAGCTGCAGCCAGGCCTGCTGCCCAGTCAGCTGAGGGCTGTCATCCGGCCAGGACTAGATGGTGGCAGCGGCAGAGCAGGGCTGAAGGGCTCAGAGGTGCTGCCATGGAGGCTGGCACTGAGCCGATCCCTCGCAAGCACACTGACCTCTGTGGACCTCCCCCCCCCACCACCCCGTGCAGTCTGGGTGGCCCAGGTCTGAGATGCTCCACCCCAACACCATGGGGTTTCCGCCCTAAAGGAATGAAGCCCTGGGGGGGGGGCGGTGGGCAGAGGGACTGCTGCCGAGCGGGTGCCTGCTCATAAGCTACGGGGAATTGATGCCTCTAGAAATTGGCAGAAACAAAGGCTAGGTTTGGGGGTTTTTTTCCCCCTCGAAAGAAGAGGCTGCAGGTTCAAATACATGTAGAGGGGGCAATGCTTCTGGTGCACTGGGCTCCCTGCCAGAGGCACAGCCCCCTCCCCTCCAAAAAAGGGGTGGCTGCCAGCCTGCCCCCAAGTGCTCACCCAGGGAAGTGGAGGGCTCGGACGTTAGAGAGTCAGCGAAGCCTTCCCAGCAAGCCCCAGAAAAGTCAGTACGCTTCCTGCTGGGTCCATTTTAAGCCACAGAACACTTGCCAGGGAGGCCCTCCACCCACCTCAACTCTCATTAATGTCGGGCAGCATCTTCAGACCAGAAGGTGTGACTAGAAATGGCGCTCCCTTTCCCCCATGCCTGCCTATAACTTGCGGCATCCGGGGGGTAGGCGGGCAGGCTGGCTGGGCTCTGAGACCCACAGCACTTGTCAGCCGTGGTAGACACCTCACGGCAGAGGCCAAGGGCTGATGCAAGTGCAGCTGAGCAGCAAGGGAGCTGCCGTTATCTCTATGTCCAAAGAAAGGCCTCTAGGTGCTGAGAAAGGGGGTGAAGGGTCTTGGGGTTAGTGGAAGTCTGCGTTGAAGGCTCTGCCGATGATCAGCCGCCTCATCTCACTGGTCCCAGCCCCAATCTCATACAGCTTGGCATCTCGCAGAAAGCGGCCCATGGGAAAGTCGTTGATATAGCCGTTGGCACCTGCAGCCAGGGTTCGGGCCGAGAAGAAAAGACAACAGGAGGTGATGGGCAGTGAGGAAAGCAAACGGAGAGCCAAGTGTATAGAAACAGGCCAGAGGAGAAGAGAACTGATTAAAGAGAAGGAGCAAGTGGTGGTGAGAGGGGAGGCTGTGGGCAACACCAGCGGGGACGAGGGGCCGGAAGGCCACCCAGAGAGCTGAGGCCACCAGGCAAAGATGGGGACCGCCACTGGCCAACCTGGGGAGGCAGACAGGAAGATACTGCACAGCAGTCACTGGGTGCCAGGCCCAGGGAGGGTAAGTCATTTGTACAGGTCACAAAGCCAGTCGGTGGCAGGGCTAGGCTTCAAACCCAGGCCTTCTGGCCCAACTCTGGGCTCTGCAGCACTGTGCAGCACTGACACGAGGCCGTCCCGCCCCCGAGGCATCCCTCCCTCCCCACTTCCCAGGGTTCACAGGACCAGGCAGTAAGTGTGAGAGGGAGGCACTGCTGCCAGGATGGGCCCCTCGGGGCCTCTGGCAGTTTTCTCATTTGCTTTAACATGTCTTCCTAGTGACTAGGGCAGAAGCCTAAAGGTGCCGGCTCAGCGGCAGCGAGCGGAAGCACTGCGGCGGGGAGCGGGGAGCGGGGAGCGGGGGGGGGGGGGCCACTCACCGAAGCACTGAATGCCGTCCAGGGCCACCTGTGTGGCGCACTCAGCTGCGTAAAGGATCACCCCCGCGCAGTCCTGTGGGAGGGGGCTCCGGGTCAGCAGGGCCCTGCCAGGGCCACGCGGGGAGGGAGTCCCCATAGCCGGCCCTTACCTTGGCAGTGCAGTGGCCCTGATCACAGGCCTTGGCGACATTGTAGACATACTGCCGACAGGCCATGAGACGGGTGTACATGTCGGCCATTTTCCCCTGCATCAGCTGGGCACAAGGGGGGGTGGTCACAAGTCAACATGCTGGAGCCACGTGCCTCTCAGACACTCCCCCTAGTCACCCAAAGCAGGTCAGCAGTAGCCACCCGAGAGCCAGGCCCGGGGATGCCAGGGCACAGCGAGGAGACTGGACTTGCCTAGGGTGACAGAGGTGCCCAGAGAGCAGCCACCGCACTGTGGAGCCCACAAGCTGAGAGGGCTCTCTCCCCAGCCGCGGCCCCCACGGACGCCCTGTGGTGGCTTCACAGCAGGAAGCGTGACCAGAAATGTTGCTCCCTTCCCTTGGGCCTGCCTACAACCTGCTCACTTCGCCATCCAGCCTTACAATGTCTAGTTCATTCATCTCAAGTAGGAAGTGAGCGGACACGAGAGCCACTTCCTGACAAGTTCCCAAAGCCAGGCGGCATGCCAAAGGAGCCTCCGATCCAAGCCTCCAGACTCATTTTGGTGGCGAAAGATAGGGAATGCCCCACTTGCTCATTTGCTAAAGATAATCTGCACCCAATGAAAAAGTACACTGCAGCAAAAGCATTCCACTCACCTGGAAGTGGCCAATCTTCTGGCCAAAGGCTTCCCTTGTGTGTAGGTAGGGAATGGTGTGGTCGAGGACGGCCTGCATGAGCCTGCCAGAAGAAAGACACTGAGGAGGTGCCTCACTGTACCCCCACTGCCAGTGGGGGTGGCAGAATGCCAACGTGGGAAGGCTTGGGGGGAGACGGCTTGGCAGGAGAGGAGGAGCATGAAGACTCTGATGACCCCTGCGCCATCACTGCACCGACTGCCCAGGACGTGTGCCCGTCTCCCTGACACCAGATGGAGGGGCAGGATCCCTGGGCAAACAGGCCTTAGAGCCTGGGTGTCCTGTTTCATCCTGAATAATTAAGCAGAATGGCACCTCAGGCCTCTTGTCTGTCATCTGGTAATATTTCCTTTCATTGTGAAGAAAGCACATGTGGGAGGGGGAGGTTTGCTCATTTCGTCTCCAAGAAAGAAGGTACATCTTCCAGGAGGCAGTTCCCACTGGCCCCCCTCAAGGGGAAGGCTGTGATGTCATGATCTGCTAAGGAGGCCAAAAGCCCAGCTCCCCCGAGCCTCACACTCACCCAAGGGGCCCACCAGCCAGCACCAGCCGCTCCAGGTCCAGCCCACTCATCAGCACGTAGACGCCCTTACTTAGATGGCCCAGGATGTTGGCAGCTGCCGGGGAAAAGTGCCAGTCAGGGGGGAGAGGGCTGTCCACAGCCTCCTCACTTTTATAAAAGCTGCTAGGTTTGCTTTTGTGGCTTTCACACAGGCCCTAAAATGTCACCTGACTTCTGACCTTCAACTAGGGTTCCGAGTGAAAGGATGGAGCTTATCACTACTTCCAGTTAGATGTAGAGCTTGCTATGGGGCTCCTGGGTGACTCCGTCGGTTAAGCCTTGGGCTCAGGTCACGATCTCAGGGTCCCGGGATGGAGTCTTGCATAGGACTCCCTGCTCAGCGGGGAGTCTGCTTCTCCCTCTCCCTACCCACTCCCCCACTCATGCTCTCTCTCTCAAATAAATAAGTGAAATCTTAAAAAAAAAAAAAAAGGAGAGCTTGCTAGAGGGACTCCCCCCACAACCACCACCCCGCCACACACACACACCCCATTCATAAGACAAGACACCAAGGCCCCATCTTTAGACGTTCCCTTTCTCTTCCTCGACTGCTTTGGATGGGGAAAAAAAAGTTAATTTGGTCTAGAAGCCATCCAACCCCTCCCTAGTTCTTTTTACCCATGCCCATAAAGGAAACTGAGAATTAACTGTCCCCCGGGTTGAGTCTGCCCTCTGCTCCAATATCACCAGCCCCCAACCCTGACAAGAGTGGTATCTGGAACAGTCTTTGTCTAAGAGACAGGTCATTCAGTGCTAGTTACAGAACGTGCTGAGCACCTCCTCACCCCGGAAGCCAGGGCACTGGATGGCCCTGGGAGGTGTGGGCAGGAAACTCAGTACAGGGTGGACCACTGACTGGCCTAATGATGGCAGTTATTTCCTGCTGACAAAGAAGGATCCACACTGATCCTGCCTCCCTAGACGCTCCTTATAACCAAAGCACACCATTTTGGGTTCCTGGGTCATGGGGGAGAGGGATGGTCTTTGGCTGAGGCACACAGCAAACCTGGCTGGTCATCACATCTATGCCCTTGGTCTAATTAGCATGTGACGGGTATGCTGGCTCTCCCACTACGTGTCATGTTTTTAGTTACACTTCAGGGGCAAAAATACTCAAATTGAATTCCCTTGTCTTCACTGAGTCTGGCTTCCTTCAGTGTATCTGAATGGTTTTTTTTTAGCACCGTTAATGAGTCCCTCACCTGGGCTATTCAGGGAAATGCACAAACAAGGAAGTCTGGAGGACAGGAGAGGTTGAGGGCACATCTCAGCCGTCTATGCCAGGTACTGGCATACCACCCTGGGCACACTGTATTAGTCACGTAGGAAATAGCACCCTTCATGGCAGCCACAGGCAGGGACACAGCTCTGGCCAGAAGGACAGCTACCCAGCAGCCCAAGGCCCACACGTATGGGCCCATGGACAAGCACAACAGAGAGAGGCTCACCGTCGAGACACATGTCCGACACATGTCCTTGGTAAGCTAATAATGGTGAGCTTCTCTTACTCAGAGATGGGCTTTCTCAGCTTATGATACGGTCAGACAGGGGCTTGCCCGTTCTCAGGGACTCACCAGGAACCTTGCAGTCTTCAAAGATTAGCTCACAGGTGTTAGAGCCCCTCATCCCCAGCTTGTCCAGCTTCTTGGAGGTGCCGAAGCCAGGCATCCCCTTTACGGGAAAAAAAGGTGGCCCCAATTACAGACCAGTCCCCAAGGCGGGGGCTAGTAAAAGGCAGACCCCTGGGAAGTGCCCGCCCTCCCATCCAGTCCCTGAATTTGCATCCCACTCTCGGGGCCCCCACTCTGTAGGACCACCCCGCTCCTAGAAACTCCAGCCCTAACGTCCCACCCTCCTGTGCTGCTAGGTGCGTTCTCCCCGCTTCTCACAGGAGCAGTTCTTTCGCAATCAAATACCCACTCCCTGGGCAGCCCCGGACCTTTGCCAGCTTTGTTTCCTCTCCTCAGGGGAAAGCACTTCCAAGACCCTCTCTCCAGGTAACTCAATTCCTTTGCCTCTGTTCCTCTGCCATCTGTACCTGAGTCCCACCCAGGACCAATTCGGCCACCTGCATGCTCTGGCCTGGCTAACCAGGTGCAGTATGCATTGCCAAGTGCCTGCCAGACAGTGCGGACAGGCAGGCTAATGACAGTGGCGCCACGTGACCGTGAGATTACCAATGTCTGCCGGGCCCTTTGGACTACTTACTTTTCTTTCCTCCAGTCTTAGTCCTCTCTCTCCATGGAGGGTATTGCAAACCTCTATGACACTCAATTCTTGGAATTCTCTCCCAGCTCCCCGACCCCCACGGTTCCCAGCCCTCACACCGCACAGTCATGAGGCAGATGGCTTCTCCACTGTCACCTGTAACCCAGCCCTCCCTTTCCCACGGCTCACTGTTGGGTTTGGCTCACTTACTCCCACACACCTCAGTTTCTCCATTTTCCTTTCTCTCTACCAAATCATTTGCTCAGTTTTCTCCCATTCTTAAAAACAAACTCAAATGTCCCCCTTTTCATTCCAACTCCCGGTCTACCTCCCCCTTACTTTGCTGCGGCCTTCATCTACCACCCCCCCTCCACCCCCGACCTTCCTGTTCACAGGGTGCTCTCCACAGCCACTCTCCCCAAGGCCACCAGGGACACCCTGGTTGTCAGATCCAGCTGCCTCCTTCCAGTCCTTATCTTCCTGGATCTCTCTGTGTGGCTCCACCACGCTCAGACCTGACTCACCCTTCTGGGGCTCCCAGTTTGGCCACCCTCCTTTCAGTCGGCTCTTCTACTCTGCCCTCACCTCGGGGAGCCTTGGCGGAGCACGCACTGATTGTGTCCACGACAAGCAGAAGAGAGCCATCTCTGGTACTGACTTCAGGCGACAAAAGTCTCCCAGCATGCACTGCCCTCCACTCACCTTTTCCACAATAAAGGCTGTGATGCCCCGAGAGGCTGGCACTGCAGCCAGATCTGTCTTGGCGTAGATAATAAGGATGTCAGCATCAGGGCCGTTGGTGATCCAGAACTTGTTCCCATTCAGGATGTAGTGATCACCTAAGGACAAGAAGTTGGCTACTTGCTCAAGCCATGTTGGCCTGTCCCAACCAGTCAGTTCATGGACCTGCTGCTGGGCAGGAAGCTGGGACAGTTCTGGAAACCTGGCAGAGGCCACCTCCAATGACTGTTCCCTCACCCTGAGAAGGGCTGTCCCTCTGTCCATGTCAGCTCCCACTCCAGAAGCTCCCAAGGCAAGAGGAGCCTCACCTTTCTTTTCTGCTTTTAGCTTCATGGAGACAACATCAGAGCCAGCATTGGGCTCACTCATGGCCAGGGCTCCGATGTACTCACCACTGATCAGCTGCAAGGAAAACCACAAGGGCTGGTTATGACTTCAGAAGTCCTCTGTGGGAGCCTACGACATTGCTTCTCACCTGTTCACATGACACCCCTTCAGACTTCTCTCAGACCAGGTATTGGTAAAGTCCTGGAAGAGAAGCCCACTATCCGTAAGACTAAACATCTCTCCCTTTCCCATTCCCTTTGCAAGGGAAGTGAGTCCTAGTCTTCCGTTTCTTTTTTCTTTTTTAAAGATTTTATTTATTTATTTGAGAGACAGAGAATGAGAGAGAGAGAGCACGAGAGGGAAGAGGGTCAGAGGGAGAAGCAGACTCCCCGCCGAGCAGGGAGCCCGAGGCGGGACTCGATCCCGGGACTCCAGGATCATGACCTGAGCCGAAGGCAGTCGCTCAACCAACTGAGCCACCCAGGCGCCCGTAGTCTTCCATTTCTTCAAATGCTCTGCAAATGATGTCCAGTGACTGACTCAGGAGTTCTGGTCCTGTTTTTATTTTTGTTTTTTTATTATATATATATTTTAAAGATTTTATTTATTTGACAGAGGGAGACACAGCGAGAGAGGGAACACAAGCAGAGGGAGTGGGAGAGGGAGAAGCGGGCTTCCCCGCGGAGCAGGGAGCCCGACGCGGGGCTCGACCCCAGGACCCTGGGACCATGACCTGAGCCGAAGGCAGCCGCTTAACGACGGAGCCACCCAGGCGCCCCTCTGGTCCTATTTTTAATTCTTTTGATTGAATTATTTTAAAAGCAAGTCCCTGACCCTTCCTATCCGTATCTGGTTGAAGGCAGCATGCTGCAGAAAGCAAGTCTGCCTGGCCCTAGCCGAACCGGGAGGGTGCCTCAGGGTCTCTCCCTCCCCATCTCCTCACCTTGGGGAGGTACTTTTCCTTCTGGGCCTCATTTCCATTGCGCACAATTTGGTTGACGCAGAGGTTGGAGTGAGCACCGTAACTGAGCCCCACTGCTCCAGAAGCTCGGGATATCTCTTCCATCACCAGCACCTGTTCCAAGTAGCCCAGGCCGGAGCCGCCGTACTGAACTGGGAGTGAAGGCAGGGCAGCACAGCAGAAAAGGCAGCCCAGATTACATTGGGACATTCGCAGGAATGTTTACCAGCAGCAAAGAAATACCCTTGTAGCTCCTACTCCAAGTTACCCCTAGGAAGGTCGATAGGCTGACGCCGTGGGCCCTACTTTACCAGCTCACAGAACTGGCTTTGTCTGCTGCCTCTGGTCAGCTGAGGTGTGGTTCAGAAAACAGGCAATGCAAACACCTGCTTTATCCCGGACAGACCTCTTAAGGAAGACAAGAGAGCCTGAGCACCCAAATGTTCAGAAAGTCGCAGAAGTGCACAGGCAGATGAATAAATGAAGGGCGACCTGGAGTTAACCAAGAAACACAAAGAGGAAGGGTCAGAGCACTAAGAATAGACACTAAGCAAAGGAAGGTGAGATTTTCATAGCATAGGTGTTTGGACCTAACAAAGCACGTCTATCAAATCAACATGTTATTTGATATGACGTTATATGTCAATTATGTCTTTAAAAAGTTTAAAAAAAAAAAAGGCAAGACTAGTAACAGAGGATAGGAGTGCCACAGATAGTGAATTTCAGAGCTCCTTACCAAAAAAATGTGGCTTTTTCTCGGCAACAGATCAACTGGTACTACCACCTCCAACCCCCAGCCTTGCTCTTTGGCAAAACCCTGGTGAGACTCTTTGCACCCGGGGGCATCTGGCTGGCTCAGTCGGCAGAACATGCGACTCTTGATCTCCAGGTTAAGAGTTCAAGCCCCAAGATGGGTAAAGAGATGATTTTAAAAAAATAATAAAATCTTAAAACAAAATAAGGCTCTACACACGTTTACTCTGCCCAAGAAGTCAGGCTCATCCTAAGCTCTAGGGAAAGGTTAGCCCAACCCCTGCAACTCTAGGAAGGTAAGCCCACAGGTGGGTGACACTGGAAACAGCCACCAGGACAACCAGGTGGAAACCAGAACTTACCAACCAGAACTGGCTTTCTTTGGGGGCGCATAAACCCCCAAGACGCAGTCTGGTCTGGGAGTTCCCAGTAGCGTTCCCCCTACCACTTTACATTAAGATGGTCTACGTTTTTAAGTCTTTCCATTTTATCATGACTCTGTAATCAGCTTAGATCCCAGGAACTGTCTGCAAGTGGCAAGGGAAGACATAAGAACACTGTGTTCCACGTCTCTTCCAATACATGAATACAAGCTGAATCAATGTGGACTGTCCAGGCTTTGGCAGGTGAGACCACAGGCTTATTTCTTTACTGGGCACTGCAAGCCAGGCTGGGCCTCTCCTTCAGGGGCCAACATCCAAACCAAAGCCCACCAGCTCTGTGCCCTCTCCCCCTGGAAACGAGTAGTAAGACCCATACAGGACAATGGGCAGGCCCAGGGTAAGCCTATTAAACACATCATCTGGCCACCTCACATGGAGGCTCAGGCATCTCTCTCCCCCATACCACCCTCTGCTCTCAGATGAGCTCCAGGGCCAGCCTGGGCAGAGGACATAGGCAGTCCCCACAGGGACATACCTGTCCTGAGTGGTCCTGCCTAGACACTAATAGTAGGGCAGAACTTTGGGATTAGGGGAGATGGTAAGACTGAAGTGCAAGACAGCTGCATGATAATGGAGTTTTCTAAACTCCCCAAATCACCTGGGGGAGCTTATTAAACATGCAGAGTTCAAGAGTCTAAGTGATTCTCACCCAGCGAACCACACTGGCTTCAGCCCTTTGCCTTCTGGATGTTACTGCTTAGTGTACTCCTCTCTGGGCTGATAGTCAGTGGGTGCTTTCTCAGGTCCAAGAGGAAGTCTTGGGTTTCTCTGAGCACGATCTTTCCCCTCCTTTCCTGTTTCTTTTGGAAACAGTGTTAAAGGGCATGCAAGAAAAGTTCTCATTAGGGAAGGAAACTATACTCACCAGGGGCGGTGATACCTAAGACCCCCAGGTTTCCTAGCTGCTTCCAAAACTCCTGCCAACAGAAAGGAGTGAGAACAGTGAGCTGTGAGAAGGCAGCCAGTCACAGGTGTCTGGCACATCTGGAACGAGACCCAAATGCTTCACACAAAGAGGCTGCACTGTTAGGGAGGTTTTATTTACCAGGCAGCAGTACAATTCCCAACCCAGTCTAGCCCGGCCCCCAAACTGCCCCCTTGCCGCTCACCTCCCGCCCCCCGCCCCCCACCATGGGCATCATGACTCACTCGAAGGTTCTTGAACTCATTGATATGATCAATCTCCTGGGCCTGGGGGGCTAGGTGCTCCTGAAGAAACTTAGCCATGGTCTGACGAAGCTAGAGGGAGAGAGGTGGACAGATGCCACGGCAACAGTCCCTTACCACCGCTAAGAACAGCATCTCCACTACTGAGGACACATTCAGGAAAACAGGCCACAAGTAACCCCACCAAACGGCATTAGATTGAAACTTAGAGGCCGTATCAGTTTATATACTTCCTCGGAGATGATCTTCCTCTCTCTTAAGGTCCTCAGCATAGACAGCTTGAGTATTTTTAAAATGTCACTCCTGTACATAAAGTCATTCCATGGCTTTTCATTGTCCTTAGATCAGCTCCTTACTCAGGCCTATAAGGCCCTGCATGAGCTGACTCCTACTGACTCTTCCAGCCTTCTCCAGTACCTTTCTCACTCCCACTCATTGTGCTCCAGCCACACCCTCTTCAGTTTCTGGCACATGCCAGGTTTTCTGATCTGAGACTGTGGTTACAAAGAATTACACAAAGGATTAGAAACTCTTGATGGACAAGTTTGAGAGCTAGGATTGAACCCTTTCTGTAAAGTGGGCCCCATGGTGTAGTGGTCAGCACTCTGGACTCTGAAACCTTTCTGTAGGAGGTGATTCAAAGCTCTGTCTACTGACTGCAAACCCAAATGGATTTTGGATTTTCTGGAGGCTGGGGCACTTGCTTAACAGCCAGGAGAATCAGGTTCCTGGGGGACTCTGTGCCAGCATCCAAGTGAACAGTCTCCTTCCAGAAAGGCTCTGGTTCAGCTTCACCTGTAATGCCCTTTCATGTTACTGTTCAACTTTGTGCTTGGACGCAATCGGCTGAAGAACTTACAGCAGGTTCCACAGCGCACTCAAAGCCCTCGAGGTGTGTATTCGAAAGATTCCCTGGTGATGATGATTAAGCAGGCTTGAGAACCATAGTCTTAAGGCAGTGTTCAGGTGTAAGCGGACCTCAGACAGACCGAGGGTCTTTTTGCCACATGCCGGTGGCCCTGCCGATCCTCCACCAAAACACCATCAGCCTCGCAGGAGCCTTCCTGTCCCCGACGCCTTATCTAACTCGGCAGCTAGGCTTTGCTGTTTCCACAGAGGGGAGGCTGAGGCTCGCGCCCGCCCCCCGCGCTCCCACTGCCGCGGCTGAGTGGGCGCCGGGCAGAGGAGCTTCTGGGCGACCTCCGCGAGGGGCGACGCGGCCTGGCCAGCAGGCCTTGGGACCCGGAAGGGGATGAGGCTCCCTACCTGCTTCTGCTCCTCGCTTAGCCCGTTGATCGCATCGTCCACGGGCAAGAGGGAGTGGGCCCGCTGGGACACGAGGCTGGAGAGCCGCGCCCGCGGCGCCCGCAGCCTCCAACTCGCCGCGCGCCGTCCCAGAAGCCAAGCCGAGGTCGCCATCGCTGCCTAGCACGGGGAGCCGGAGCGGGAGCCGGAGGAGCAGCTGCAGCGCCAGCTCCAGCGGCGACGACTCGCCCCTAGGGCTCCACCAATCCCAGGCTTCGCTGCCCCCACCCAATCGGCGAGGGGGTGGGTCTCCAGCAGCCTATCACCGTCCGCGGCCGGCTGAAGGCCGCGCTGCCCTTGGTCACCACGCGAGCCAATCAGCGGTGACGGCTTGACTCCCTGGGCACCCCCGCGACGAGGGAGGTGGGGACTCGCTTTGCCGGAGTCATCTCTACGTGGAGACTTTATTAAGTAGGAGAGCGAGAAAGGCGTCTTCGGAATCGAGGAAAGGTATCTCCCCTGCGTTAAAGTAGCAGTCTCGGACTACAGAAGTCTCTCTGTGGGAAAGGAAGTGTTAAAACAAGGAAGTGTTAAAACAAGGAAGTGTTAAAACAGTCTGGGAAAAAGATGCCCAGTGCTTGGGAATAGTTAAAGCAGATCTGGCGTATCTAAGATTGGGTAAGTGGCGCTGGCTCTGGTGTGCACACTGTTAGAAACCAGGAAAACTTGCTTTATTACATAACAGGGTGTAGTGATTTTGGAGTTTTATGCGAGAGTTGCTGTCTTCCAAATTATTTAATGTTCAAGAAGAACATCAGGACTTTTTTAAAAACAGGGTTGGGGGTGGTGTGAAGATATAGAAAAGGCAAAGTAGTGTGTTACGAGTATTAAAAAGAAAGCCACCGAGCCATAGTGGAGCCACTTAAGGCTCGGAATCAGTAAACCAAGACTTAACTACCTAACTGTAGTTTTCACCGCCCCAGGAATGTAACCTCTAACCACTCGACGTGGGAATGCCTATCAGCACTGGGAAATTTATAGACACCGCCCTTGTGTTCCCCTTAGGATAGACCTTACCTGAAACAATCCTTTGCCTATAATTTCCTTTTTCTATTCTTTTGCTACCTTTTTTTTTTTTTTAAGATTTTATTTGACAGAGAGAGACAGC